TATGAAAATATAATTAGTAACTAGTAAGTAGTAAGTACTAAGTAGTAACTAAATAAAAATCACATGGTTAATTTGAAAAACTATTTTTTATTTAATTTTTGTACATAGAAAATGTTACATTATAAAAAAAAAAAATATATTATTTTAATTTTGCTGCTTTGTGTTATGAGAAAGAAAGATTAACAATTTGGCCGTTTCACCTGATAAACAATTTCTTTTTGCTGTTATAATATTTCCTGCGTTAGAGAACGCTCTTTCTGAAGGTGTTGAGGTGGACGGAATGCACACTTTTTTTTTTGCAAGTTTTGAAATGTTTGGATATCTTGAACTATTTTCTTTCCACCAAACTAATGGACAAGCATTTTTATTTATTGTTTTCTCTTTTACATATTTATCAAGTTCATTTTGTTCACTGCATCTTTCATTGTCTGGGAATAATATATCAAGAGCAGTCATTTCTAAATGTTGGGCAGTATCTCTGTCGGTTTTAATAATTCCAGCACCATCATCAAAATTTAGTTGTGTCTGTATGAAATTTCTTATTAAATCCATCATTCCATCATTGTTATTATCAGCAAACTGATTTTTGTAACGTGGATCTAAAAAAGATGCAATATTTAAAAAAAAATTTCCTCTTCATGAGCAGCATCGAAAAATCTTGTTTGAAACTCCCGAGTTAATATTCTTTTAAATGTTTGAATTTGTTGAAGATCTGTATTGTTATGTTTTAAAAAATTATCCACAATACTTTTTAAAATTGGCTGCACAGTAGAAATTGTGGGAGTTTTTGCTGATGATAATATGTTTGTAACGAGATTAAAAGGTTCAAGAACTTTGATCAAGTATTCTAACAACTCCCATTTACTTTCACTCAATTCCAATGTCAATGCAGTTGTTCTTGTAGTAACTGTACGGTCATTTAATACTGAACAAATAGCTTGTCTGGAATCGTTAAGCCTGACTAGCATAGCATAAACAGAATTCCACCTAATTTTTACTGATTGTACTAATTTGTTTGTCGACATTTTCAAATTTTTTTGAGCTGCTAAAAAAGCTTTTGAAGCTACAGTAGAGTGTTTAAAATGTGATACAATTGATGAAGCTGTACTCAGTAAATCTTTGATTGATTTATCTTCTAAGCCTTTATTAACACAACGTTGCAGCGAATGAGCGAAGCAAGTTCTACTTTTTATATCAGGAGCCATAGAACAAACTGCATTTTTTATATTAATTGCATTGTCATGAACAATACAAACTACTTTATTGTAAATATCCCAGACACGTATAATATCCAACAGTTTATCTTTTAAATTGATACTTGTATGACGTTCATCCATCAACTCGGTTGTTAAAATGTAGTTCACTATTTTCCACTCATTAGTGATTCCATGAGCCGTGATTGAGATGTATGATTCAGTAGATCTACTAGTCCAACAATCTGTTGTTAAGGCAATGAAATCTATACCATTCAAATCACTAGCAACTCGGTTTTTTCGGTCAAGTAAAGTCCAAGCATTCTTCTTTTAATAGTATTTCGGCATGGTACTTCATAGTTTGGTGATACTGTTCTCATGAATTCTAGAAATCCAATACCATCTACCGAAGAAAGTGGAAGCATGTCTTTTGCAATATATCTTACTATACTTTCAGTTATCATTTCTTGCTTCTTGACCGTCATAGAAGGAGAAAATAATAAATCTGTTATTTTTTGTTGTTTTATTGAATCTGGAGTTGAACATGAAACTGCAATGGATGTAGATACTTCAGGTTCAGACACAGTTTGAGAGTTTTCAGAATGAGATTCTTCACCATTCAGTATAATATCTTCAGCATCATCATCTCCTTCAAATGGTCTAAATGAAAGTATACAAATACCAAATTAGCTATTAAGATTTAAGATATTATTAATAATGTAATATCTGAATTTCCAAAGTATTAGTATTGAAATAAATATATTTATTCAATCATATTAATTGACAGTTGCAGCTAGCTTCAGATAAATATGTGTTTTTGAGGAGGAAAAACAATAAATATTGTTAAAATTATATTATTATATTACCTTTTCTTTATAACAGCATGCTCACCACCCAGTGTTTTGTTTAAATTGTGCTTTATCCGTAAGTGACTCCATAATGTTCCTTAGGTAGGTATATAAAAAAAACAATATTAATATTATTTAAGAAAAATAGGCATTAGCTAGTATTATTAATTATTTAAGTAAATTAATTTAAATACTTTAATAGTATCTACAAATCTAAATTAACTTGTATAGTACATTTGTAAAACTAAATTTAGTACCTACCTAGTATCTACCTAGTACCTAGTAGGTACTAGTGTACTACCTACCTAGTACTTACTATCAATTGCATTTAGTAGATACCTAGTATTACCTAATACCTACTACCTACTGTTTTCTTATAACATCAAATTATTTTGATTTTTTAATTTTGAATAGTAACAACTAACAATAATTACAAACTCAATAATTATATTAATCCGGATTGGTATCATAATCCGGATTGATAATTTTTAATCCGTAATCCGGATAAACAGATTAATGACGATTGTTTCAAACCGGATTGATCCGGACACGGATTTATCCGGATTTGATGTCCAGCACTAGTAGCAACCCTGTACTATATAACATTGGTATCTAATCTAGTTTTTAAAATGACTAAATTATGGTTTGATAATAATTTCCTAGAGCTTAATCTTAAAAAACTAAACACATTTTTTTAGTGTTCAAAAGGAAATTACAAATAATTATTTTAAAATAACTGATCACTCTGAACTTTGTATAACTTGAAAATATGTAAATTGTACTTGTATAACTATTGATAAAGTCAGTAACATAAAATACCTAGGTTTACATATGTATAACAACTTTAAATGGAGAAAGCATATCGACCATGTTATATCAAGTTAGAAAATGTTTCTTTATTTTTAGGAGCATAAGATAATAAGAAATATTTAAGATTAATTTATCTTTCATTTGTGCAACCAGTTATTACTTTTAGTATTTAAATATGGGGGGAAAACATTTAATTAAGCTAAAAACTATTTTGAATAAAATAATAAAATATATTCTAAAGTTACCATGTTTTTATAGTACAGATTTCATTTATAATGATTTAGAAGTGTTTGACTTTGATAAATTATTAAAAAAAAAATAACTTTTATTAGCTTATAAAAATAAAAATTTCATACCTACATGTAAGCATAATAAATTATAAGACTAAGTATAAAAAAAAATATTAATGTACTTAAGATAAATTGTAAAAAACTATTCAGATTAAAAAGTTGCAGTAATAATGCAACTGAGTTGTGTATATCGTTAAATATTAATTTTAATCTGTACCAAAATATTTTTTGTTTAAAAAATGCTTTACTTAAGTTACCTAATTACTTAAGTTCACCTCCATTTCAATCAAGCTTAAAGGAGATGAGCAAATGTATTGTGTTAAATACCTATGTATTTTATATGTTCAATGATAAATTTGCCAATAAAAGTATGCAATGTTTTAGGATTAAACATAAAAAAGTATACAACATTTAAATAAAGTTGTATTTTATTTATTATAAGAAAAAGCCAATGTCTGCCATGGACATTACACTGTTGAAGGCAAAAGAAACATGAGACGTAACGAACTAACGACAACCTTAACTAGTAAAATAGCCAAGAGCAGCGGCGGATTCTGAATTTTAACCAGCCCGGGAGAATTTCGTTTCACCGGCCCAAAACTCCATAAATACAAAAARTTTATTGAAAATGTTGTAAAATTATAATAGGTAATACATAATAATAATTTTAGTTTGGTTAAATAAATTATTTAATATTCCTAATTTATTACTTACATAAACCATAAAAGTATTATTAATATATATGTATTACATAATATATATAATATATCAATTAATTATATCATATTCATTATTCAAGTGATGTATTGTATAGGTATATTATTCAACATATGACATTATGAACAATTGTGATAAACAGTGGAAGCACGCCTGCATATCATACAAATTAAAAAATTGAATAAGGTAGAACTTGGCCAAAACTTAATAATTAATATGATA